CTCAACATCCCCTTCCCCCCATTCTGCTCACCGCACCCATCCACATCATCCCCTCCGCTGATTCATGCAAGTATTTCTTCCACCCGCCCCGAATTCTCTTTCTGTGTCTGTGCGTGAGAGGGACCCCCCCCCCCTTTTCCCCGCCCTTCACCATCCCCACCCTTCACCATCCCCACCCATACCACCCATCACCACTCACCCACCCCACCCCATCAAGCCAAGCCACCCATCTAACCAATCCACAACCCCAGCCACCGTTACCAACTCCCACCGCGCGCGCGCTCTCGCTACACACACACACAACGGACGCGCTAATTGTTTAAGATCGAATAACTCGCATAATCTGGGCAGGGGGTGGGGTGGGGGGTATAACGTGTCCAATCGGAGCGCTAGGTAAAGCATGCATCATCATTACAGCCGCCGCCGCCACCACGACCATCATCATCATCATCACCGCTGCGAGATCACCGCATGCACGCGGTAGAATGTGCGTGGCTCACTCGGACGGCTCGTTTTTGCGAGCGCCCATTGGCAAGAGCCTCTTGTGTTTTCTCAAGGGGTTGCAGTGGTAGTCGTCGTGGGCTGTTTTGTATCCCCCCCCCCACCACCACCCTCGACTCCTCCGACTCGCTGTTTGGGGGGGAGCGAGAGAAACGTGGAGCAAGAACAACAGAACAGTTGCTGTGAAGATCGCTTTTTGTTGTGCGTGGCTGTTACCGGCTGCTGACGCCGCTAGCGAGCTGATCAGCGGCTTACTAGCGGGGTCGGGCTTTGCTTGCTGCTGCTGCTGCTGGTGCCGGTGCTAGTGGTGCTAGTGGTGCTGGTTGTTGAGAGATAGAGAGAGGGAGGGAGGGAGGGGGGAGAGCCGGTGTCTGCGGGACACCGGGCTGACGAAATGTCTCGACGCAAACAGACGAAGCCCCAGCAACACTTCGGCGAGAGCGGCGAGGGCGGACCCGACTCTTCGGAGAGCGGTGAGTGCGTTCGCGAGAAGTCATCCCGCTTCCTCTCTACCCCCCACCCCCGCCGTTTCCTCGAACTTTTCAACGCGTTCCCGGTTCGCTTATGGCACACTTTTTGTTCGTTACGGGACCCCCCCCCCCCCGTATCACCCTCCGGCTGCCGCGGTCCAATCCACTGCTGGATGAAGGCCTCTTTCGAGGCGCCGCCATCTCTCCACGTTCTTGCGACGATGGTTTTTAAAAAAAAAAATCATAATGAAGAATAATCCAACCCTAGCGCCTTGCAACGCGAGTTGATTTTCATCGTTCCGTCTCATCGGTGTTGACGGCCGGGCGGGTCCGGCTTGTGGAAGAGCGGCGCTCCGTTCGGGACACTATCCCGCAGGGGCCAGCCGCCTGTGTTGCGTGTGTTTGTGTTTAAAGGGACGCATTGCTGCAGCCATAGTTACACTGCTGGAGTGCGTGCAAAGTTGCGTGGCAGTGCCTGCCCCTCCTCCTCCGCTTCGCATAGCCATCGACGGCTACGAATCTGTCTTCCCCCCCACCCCCGTGCGTAGTTGCATGCTGTTACTTGGGAGTAACAGCATGCAACTACGCACGGTATTTAACGAGAGTAATACTTGTGTGATGTGCATGCTTGGTTCTTGCTGTAACGTCTCGCTCTATCTTCGTTGCATAGCTACGTAATTTAGACGCGTGGAGTTGAATGTCTATTATCGAATGATGAAGTTGCATGTGGTATGTCCGTTCGTGAATAGATTTGAGCACGCGAACGTAATTACATACGCTATCGCGCGCACACACACGTTCACCGTTACATCAATAATTTCATAGTTACCATACAGTCGTAAGTTGCGCGCAGATAGTATATTTGTGCACGCGATTAATGCGCGCGCACACACACACACGACGCATAGCAACACAGTGCAGTACCAGCGGTGACTCACACGTGGAGTGTGCGCGTATGACGAGGACCTTCTCAAGGGACTTCACCACTCACTCGGCATGCAACTTCGTCCTCGTTAACGATGGGAACCGCCCTATCGGGGTGTTGCGATACGTTTTGGTTTAATTCAATGAAACACAATTGAATCATCAGAGTCAAAGTTCAGCCCATCGGCGATCCACTGCTGGGGAGAAAGGGGGTGGGGGGTGTGGAGGTCGTTTAAAGCCATACTTCACCACGCTGGTCAATAGGGGAGCAGGGGGGGGGGGGTGTGCTGATCGCTTTCACTGCTCGTCTGTTGGTTCCTGCTCACACGTTCGCCGTCGTCCTCTCTCTCTCTGCGAGGGCGAGCGAACCGTGCGTGACGGCGATGCGTTACAAGTTGATAATAATAATAATGTTGTTGTTGAAATGCGGCTCAGAACCGGTTCATGTATCACCTCGCCACCGATGTTCGCCGCAGTCCGGGAATCTAACGCAGTTCTCCCGGGTTCTTGGGAGCGCAGTGCGCTAACCACTGCGCCACCGCTCCGCCACACAATTGAACACGTGTAGCACGTTCGCGTCTTAACTGCAGTGTTGTAACGCGTCCTGAGATGCGGTTTCATTTAGACTCGACGGTGCAGTCCAAATGTTGTGCAGTTACTTGGTGTCTAAAACGATGATTGCTGTTTGTATCCCTGGGTAAAAATAGCTTTTAGAACTATATCCTATATCTTACAAAACAGGCGTACGTTCAGTGTGTGTGTGTGTGTGTGCGCGCGCGCGCGCGCACATTTATCCGCTATGATGAACGATGTACATGCATCAAGAATATGGACAACTCGTCACAAAGGAAATGGAACAAAAGGCGAGGAAGCGCGGAGTAAAAAAAAGAGGCGTAGACCACGAGGCGCTTTGGAATTGCCGAGAGAGAGAATGAGGAGCACGTGGGGAAGCTGGGAGGGGTGGGGGTGATCCTAGAACAACACGGGCTACTTGGGCACGTAATCATATCGCCTGTTGATACAGGCCAAATAAAAACGATGGGCTTGGACAGAATACATCGCTCGAAGGGTCCCGGGATGATGGCCGGTGGCCTAGTTCGGGAGACTTCACGACTGAAGTAGCAGCCGAAGGGGGAAGAGAGGGGGGGGACACGCCATGAGACGGACGACACCGCCGAGATGTCGAAATGAAATCCGTTCGTGCGTCGTCGGGGCCGAGATGGATGGCGACGGCGTGGGGATAGGAGGTGGAGGGAGGTATTTCATCCAGCTGTGAATAGACCATGGCTGACTATGATGAAGATGACGATGCTTCAGGCCTACAAATCCGTGGTGGGGGGGGGAGTTACAATGATATACAAAGCGGGCGTTAGCACTGAACTATATGAAGGGCACAGCGCGTTAATAACAGCAACCACAATCAGTCGGTCATCGGTTGCGATTTGTTTTTAGGCTTCCTAGTGTAGAGGTTTGATTTCTATTTGGGACGATCATCAACATCAGCCATGGCCAACCCACTGCTGGAAGAAGGAATGCCCCAAAGCCGCCGCCACCTCTCTATGCCCACTACGCAAGAATCCACCTTGCACACGCGCTGATCCCACGCTCCATCTCCCCACTGTCCGTAACCCTGAACGCGTTTCGTTGCCCCGTCTGCCTCACCATCACCGTTCTAGACCATGGTTCCGTTTAGCGAAGCCTCCTGCTCAAGCCAACTCAACTTTGTTCAACAGTTGGAATGATTTCGAAACGTCGTGTGAATTTTATTGTTTTATTTTATAATTTTATTCTCATTCTACGTGACTTTACCGAAAGAACTAAAGAAGAGTTGGACTGATGTCCCTGATCTGGGCACCTTCTCTAATCCACGCGTGTTCCTCCACTTTGTCTCGCAATGGAAAATCCAAGAATGCATCTAAATCCGTGCTTTGTGCTCTTTCAAGTGTTAATCGAGTTTCTTGGAAGCTCAAGTTTCCGTACCATATGCAACGGAGTGAAATTATGTAAAGGCAGTAGCTTCGCACGAACTAAATTCAAATGCCAGGATAACTTGATGAATTATTTTGGTTTCGTCTTTACGGGCTTTGCGTGTTTAAAAAAAAAGTGTTTTTAAATTAAACTCCAGTGGTTGTCTGTTAAGCCATTCACCACACTGACCAGCGTGGTGAGGTATGGCCAAGCAACCTACCACGACCCTCACCATCCAGCAGTTAAGAGGGGATGCGCGTGATTTCGCTGCTGTTACAAATCCAAGTCGGATGTGGCATCAGATCTCGTGGCGTGGTGGATGTAAGCGACATGGTAATTCACAGCCATCCTTCAATCCACTGTTGAACACTGAAGCCCCCCCCCCCCAACTCACCGCGCATCTTGTCGGTGCTCGCGGGTCATTCGGGTGTCACGAAAGGGCGTGATGCGTCGTAAAGCACGTATGAGTGGTGACTTTTATTGTTCCTAAGTGGCCCCGAGATTATGAATATTATTGACTCGGCGTGGCGGGGGGGATACCCTCCCCTTCGCCCCCCCCCCCCCCCCGAACCTTACCTACCGATGTCCACGCGCGTGTGGCCCCCCACTGCGCGCGCTGCTGTAGCCGCGGTCCTTGTAACGGTACGGATCCTAATCCGTAACAACCACCCCAACGTGGGTCATCGCCATTAACGTCACGAGCAGCGACGGAGTGTCCCTTTTGTAAGTAGTGTGGTTCCCGCCATAGAAACGTGGAATTCCCACCACTTGCCTCCTGACCGCTGTCGCTCCCCGCTGTGTCCGACTTGTTCAGCTGGTGGTGTTTTAGTTCAGGTGACTTGTCCAACCCCCGTTGTCTGAGTCATCATCAGGATGGAGTTGGGGGTCACGGAGGGTGTTTGGCCATACTTCACCACGCTGGTCGGTGCGGGTTCGTTTAAAATTAATATTGGGGTGCGATGTTGTGATCTCGTGCCACGCTAGGTCGTATAACGAAATTGTGCCCTAATGTACAGCTGTGTTGGGTACATGTTAACAAAGAAAATAGCGATCGTATTAAAATAATACATGACTTAAAGCTTTCGTGACTGCAGGAATGTATTCTTTTGGGTCTTTCGGTAAAGTCACGTAGATAGGTTCAAAGAAAATAACAAATAAACTATCTACGTGACTTTACCAAAAGACCCAAAGAATATAATAATACCTGACTTTGGTTATTTAGTAAAGACTTAATCGAGTTTCAAAAATAATATTCAGGAGGGTTCTGCATTGCAATGTTTGGCCAACTCGCCTGCGATTTGTGAACAAAATTGGAAGAGTATCCACGTGAAAACCCACCACCCAAAACCTCCTGCTAGGCCTGGATATTCAGTACGTGGTGTGATCGCTTGCCCAGTTCAGAATCTATAAGCTATCTGGTATGTTCAGGGCAGTCTCCCATCTAAACAGTCTAGAACGAACCATGATCGCACTCGGCTTGATAATTATTAATGCGATGAGATGGGGAGGCGCATTCGCAGGGTAAATCCGTTTAAAGCTAAAGGCATAAACTCCACGCATCTTTGCGTATCCGCTCTGTCGGAATATAAGTTACGCTAACCGTGTGTGCTGTGTTTACTGCAGTCCAAACGTGTACATAACGGCACGTACATTCTTTTAAGACTACGATTACGAAAGTAATTAATCGTACAGGATAGAAGAAAAGATCGTGACTGCGTGGGTTGTGGTAATGTAAGCTACAACGGTGTACCGGATGGGATGGTAGGATATAAACAATCTTGATTATAAACATTTGGTACACAGATTTAGTCGAGTCTATGATGCTTAAATCTGAAAGGGCAAAACTTTACGAATTAGGACTCTCCCAAAAATAACGACGAGAAGTGTTGATTGATAGAGCGCGGGTGGTGGGGGGGGGGGGAATTCTCGACCTTTAAAAGTTCCACATTTGGCAAGCCTCCGTGCTAAACACCGTCGGTGAACCGAGTAATTCTCCTCCGGCCGAGTGCGACGCTGAAGCCAACAGAAAGCGGGCGAGGCCCGCTAATGGCTGGGCACAACAACAATAGTCGGGTTTCTGCAGTGCTGGTAAGACGCAGTGCTGGTAAGACGCGGTGGTGTGGCAGCTGTAAGACGCGGTGGTGTGGCAGCTGTAAGACGCGGTGGTGACAGCGGTTAGCGTACTGCGCGTCGGTGAAAATTTTCGACATAAGCTCGAGCCCCAGTCCACAGCTGCCATCACTGGGCGAGCGATTTTCTTTATCTGAACCGGTCCCTCGGGTGACCCAATTCACCAACCCACGCAGACCAGCGTGGTGAAGTATGGTTAAAAAAATGCCTTGGATCGGCATTGAATTTTGAAGGCTTTCCAATCCAGCAGTGAATTGATGGCAGAATGTGTTTTTTTAATTCATACAGTCGTGTGTATGTGTTCAATGGTTGTGTATACACACAGCATAACGTGCAATAACACTTTGTATTTATATTCTAACAAATTCAAATGTTTGGTATAGTTAACTCATTAAACTAGTGTGTGCATACTTTAACATTTCCTTTTGACCATACTTCATCGCTCTAGTCAAATGTGTATAATTTAACTCGTGAGTTTTCGATATTAGATTTCATACATGTTAAGCACTATAACACTTCCAAAAAACCCCCTGCCAGGTTGAATGGGAGGTATACATTATAATTTTGTAGATATTTAACGTAATATCCAAAATAATAATCGTAAGTTTGGGGTCATAGCAGTGGCGCATATCTGCTGGATATGAATTCGACTCTAGATTGAAAGCTTTCGTGACTGCAAGGATCCATACTCTTTGGTTCTATTCGATTTTTGTTTTATTTTTTACCTACGTGAATTTACCGAATAGAACCAAAGAGTATGGATTCGACTCTCGGCCACACGGCTATCACCAAAGTCGAGTGATATCTGAAACCAAACTTTATACCATCCCGCGCTGTTCAGAGTAGTGAAGTATGGTCAATCAACCCCCACAACCGCCAGTCGATTGATGGAGATTTAATATCAACCGCTGTTAAATATCTACAGTTCTAAAGAAGCGTTCAACCAGATATGGCGCTCGAGAACTCGTTAAAGGAAAACCTGCTCAACGTTAAACCATGCGTTGTAACTATGAACGTTTTGATTTAAAGCTTTCGTGACTGCAGGTATTTCATATTCTTGACTTGACCGAAAGAACCAAGAATATGAACGTTATGTATGTTGCGTACATAAACAATTATACATGAACCATTATTACTCCTGCTTTAATACAAACTCGTTTCGGCGAAAGATCTTACTGTGTCCAATTGGTGGCCTCTCCTTTGTTTTGTCTTCAATTATGGAATGGTTTGGACTGATATATGTAATACACAGATTTCAGTTTCAGTTCTTTTCAGTTCAGTTTATTTTGGTACAGCCCTGTGAGCCATTCGACTCTTGAATCGGGTGCAACCACAACAAACAAAAAACACGAACAAGAAAAACATCTTAAAGTGACTTTGTGACTTTGCAAACAGAAAATCCATGAAAAAACACTAAAATATTCCTGAAAAAAGCACCGTACACCAACGCTGTGTGCAAAAAAAATCCCAGTGGGATGCAAGTCAAACAACAACAACCACAAGAAAACTTAAATTAAGGCCATGAGTCTAACTCCGTACTACAACAAAACAAACATGTCCAAACCAAAAAACATTTTCGAAATCACCAAATGTGTGTAATCATAGTCCATGTGCAAACTTATACTGGACACGATTACTACTCAAAGTAACAATTCGCGCCATTGTGGAGACTATCACAATGCGAAGAAGCGCACGATGAGGCTATGGATTGATTTTTTTTTAGTTGCGTATAGCAAGGGATGAAGTTTGGTGTCGAACCTGGGACTCGCATAGCGCAAAGATCGAGGGAGTCTTTCCCCTGTCTGTAAACATCTCTGGGCAGGTCCACCGACATCGATTCAAGCGAGCCTTCCTCTGCTGCTGATGAGACGCTGAATGTCAAAACCGGTCCAGAGTTTTGCTTTTGAGTTTGGAAACGCCGCTGCCGATATCGATGCACGCCCAGGAGGCCACGTGGTACGGCTGATGGCATGAGTAAGAAATACTTGTACAGTTCGGTGTTTTCACGTGGAGACAAGAAGGATTATTACAGTGTGTGTGTGAAGGCGACTTTGCTCATTTATTTGGTTAGCAGGCGACGTGACTGGGTATCGAACTCCAACAGTTTGTGTTCGTGGCCAGCAACCGCTCACCCCCCCCACCCCCCAATATTGCTATGTGCCATTAATTGTCACATCAATAACAGCATTGCACGCAACTGCTGTGTAAAAAACTTTACCACTCCCTTGGCATCTGACCCGATCACGGATTTCCCCCCCCTCCTCCAATTCAACCCACAATGTCCAGCGTTTGGCCAAGTATGGTTCAAACACCTCCCACGCGGGGCGGTGAGGATGAGGCATTCGTGGGTTTAACACGGGGGGGGGGGGGGGGGCTGTTGAAGTACTTGCAGGAATGACACCCGAGAAGAGGGGCGCATCGTGTGGTAGAGGCTGCCCTTCAGGACTTGATGCGTGCTGTGTGGGGGAGCGGTATCGCGCGCCGTGCTACGAACCCGGCGAGCCGAGTTCGATTCCCCCGCTCACGGCCACCAGCACCGCTGACGATTTGTAATTGAGCGGTGCAGGCCCCCCCCCACCCCTCCCCTAGGTCGACTCGGCGTCAAATGATTACCTGGGTGCGATGCGTGAACATCGCCGCTAGGGAGATGAAGGCGACCGGGCGTGCTGTTGGCCACCACCATTATCCCACCTCGTGTGCCGTGCCGGCCTTCATAAAAGTGCTCGCTTAGCAACACTTGGCCCCAAACCTATGCAAAGCCTGTACGGGTGGGGGAGGGGGATTCTTTGTCTTTTGTTTATTTGTTGACTCGGAAAGTCCCATTGTTCATAAAAAAACTATAGAATGCAAAATCTTAAGTAGAAAAACCGGTCTCGAACGGTTCCCTCAACTCCCCCCAAATGGAGCGGTGACCTCCCCGGCCGACCCCATTCACAAAATACGCAGCGCCACCCATCCCCGATCTCACGTTTAGTTTTTTGTTTGTTTGGTAAGCCTCCAAGAAGCACGAGAGTCTAACAAATAAAAAGTTGAGGTTCTAATGTCGAACAATACAAGTTTAACACGTAGCCTCTCGCGACCCATATTATCCATAAACAACAATAATTTTCAGACCTTTGGCAATTCGCTGCTGGATGAAGGCTGATCGGTACGGAGCCAGGAGTTGGAACGTAGTGAGATGCCCATGGTCGACTTCATAAATCCTATTCACCACGGGCAGGAGTCGAACGAACCCGGTTTTCCGGGTTTGTAGCGTAGTGCATGATCCACGCCGTGTGTCTGTCGGGCGTTGCGAGCAATTTGACCATACTTCACCACGCTGGTCGGTGTGGGTTTGTGGGGGGGGGGGGGGAGATTAGGGCAGGGAGTTGCAGTATATCTCTGACGCTTTAAATTATCCACCGCGTGTCCTTTAACTGAGGCTATGGGTGCATTTCGTCTAAATGGCGAGTTGTAGAAACAATAACGGTGTCATCTATCATCAAGTGGTTATCGTCACGCCGATTGTCCTTGGCCACCGCCATCGTCAGCGGCCATTGTCTCTCCACTGCTCGATGGAGGAGGCTTCCCCCATCATGCCGTCGCCATCCTCGCGGGCTCTTGCGATGCCCCTCCATGTGAGAATGATCTTGGACGGTCGCGCTCCCCGTGGGCGTCGTCCCTGGCTCACAGATGCGTTCCTTCCCATTCTAGATTTAAAGCTTTCGTGACTGCAAGGATCCATACTCTTTGGTTCTATTCGGTAAAGTCACCTACGTGACTTTACCGAATAGAACCAAAGAGTATGGTTCCTTCCCATTCTTCCACTCTCCATCCCCACCAGGGGCCATCGTGTGTTGTGCCCCCCCCCCCCCGCACCTCCGATTTTAGCACGGTTGGCTAAGTACAGTGCGAAAGAAGTTAAACGTACTTGCATCCCTTCTGGCCATGTGGTGTTTCTGGCCTGAAGCCTGCTTGCTTTAACAAACAACTAACATGTAACTTGCCACACTCGTTAATAACACTGGCCATAAAATAAAAAAATACATAATCAAATACATAATCGGCGACGTTTTGTGAATGAATGGACCTTATCCATAGCACACAAACGGAGAGGGAGTGCTTTAATAAAGGTAGGAGACTGCACGTAACACCATTTGGGCCTAGTGATAATTACATTTTTTGACTGTTTTCTGATAAAATGTTTTTAAATAGGCACATGATGAGTTACCTAGCAGCAGCCATTGTATGCATGTTGAACTTCTTTCGTACTGCACGTAGCTAACCGTGCTAATCCGGATGTGCTTTGCTAAATGCAGCAGGAGTATCGACGTGATGTGTCAATTTTTCCTAACCATAAAAGGGGGTCTTGGCTTTGTCTGTGTTCTCTGATCTACGTGTTTTTTTTTCTTCCAATCTTCAGATCCCCTCCGTTCCGTTGATCTCTTCACATGTCCCAACAATGCCCCTTTTCGTTCGATTTGCATCGCGTCATGGCATAATTTTACCATTCTCAATTATGATTAACTAAATATACGCCAACGTAATGTAACCCCTCCATGTGGTGGTGTAACCGTTGACCTGTGTCAAAAGGTAAAAAAAAACATACTCGAATGGAAGCCTTTTTTGGATTTTGATCAAAATTTTCCAATAAGTTTCAGTTTTTTTAATAATTTGAAATAACCACATTACCAGGTAAGGCCAACTGAGCTTGTATAGCCACAAATGCAAGCTCAACAAAAGTGGCTTATCACGTGGAAATTTATCGCAGCCAAATACTCTAAACGCACGGTTCTAAATGCGGATGAGAAAACCGTTGCCCCCGGAGAAAAATCCACGGAGAGAACAAGCAAACTTCAAATATACATGTGTCGGGGTCCGGATCGAACCCACAACCTCCTGTGTACCAGGCGAGAGAGTTAACATCTTACCACCGTGGCCTGTGCATGCAGTATACATATGGTACCTTCTCGTTAAGCTATTACAGTAACAGTACTTCACTTTCCTCAACAGAACCTGGGGGGCCTGCCCCTTCTTGTTGACTGCAGTGTCATTCTTGTTTACAGCCCTTTGTCAATCCACTTTCTGGACGCAGGCCTCCCCTATGCCATGTCGGTCATTGAGCTTTTTGAGCAGACTTCACCACCCCGGTCACTGCGGTTTTAGTCATATCTGAACTGATCCTAGGGGCGGTGGGAGCACTTACCCGTGGCCTGGGATCGAATACTGACAGGTACATGTAGCCCGGTGTCAATGAACCACACTGCTCGCTCTTGATGGCCTCATCATGCTTTCTCTACAACCAGGCATGGACAGGACCTCATCCAGCAGTGGATTGGCCAATGTCTGTAAATAATACCAGTTTCTATATTTAATGTAGTTGGGGGCACAGTGTATATTTTCCTCTGATTTTAATATCTGGGAATTTTAAGAAACTACTGAATGCTTATCACCAAGACTGGTAATACAATCTACATACACAGTACAGAATATGCATAATCACCAACAGTAGGTGATTCATAAATTAATGTTTTCAGGAATGGATAAAGAAATTGACCATATTGCATGAATAATAATTTAGCATATTTGCTCTTTGAACTATACTCCAACAGCATGAGACTTTAACAAAGGTAAGATTGTGCTTTTTTTTCCGCCAACAGACGTATGGTCGGGGAATCTTTATGGTGTCCGCTGCGACCGAGGTCACGCTTGCTCACGAGCCTCTCGCTTCTGCACACCCCCCCCCCTCGTCTCTTGTCCCCCACAGCTTGCTCCTCGGCGCTGAACCAGAGCGGCGGCGATGGCGGCAGCGACAAGGGCAGTCCGCGGGCGCACGTCTGCGACAGCTGCTGCGGCCAGTTCCCCACGATGGCCGCCCTCGGCCAGCACATGGAGAGCTGCGGCAAGGCCCCCGCTGTTTTCATCGTCGAGGAGAGTGACAAAGTCCCGCCGGACGACGGGAGCCCGGGCAACGAAATCGGAGTCCTCCGGGAAGGATTCCCGGTCGCCGTCGCCGTCCCCAACGGTGACGGCAAAACCAAGGCGTCGCATTTCCCCGACGACTCGCCGCCGCCCCTTGAAAGCAGCAAGCGCTTCAGGGCAGACTCCAGCGGCTCCGTGGGCGGCCACGCCGTGACGTCGTCGTCGAGCGGCGGTGGCGGCGGCAAAGGGAAGGTGAATGGATACTCTTTGTCCGAGGCGCTTGAGGTGGGACGCTCTGAGAAGGCGGCGGCGGCGGCGGCGGCAGGCGGTAGCAAGGTGGCTATGTCTGGCGCGGCAGCAAGCTTGCCGTTCATCGTGGAGCAGCTCGTGTCCCTGCACCAGCAGCAGATGAACCAGCTCCACCTCATCGAGCAGATACGGAGCCAGGTGACGCTCATGGTGGCGGCTTCGTCCGCGGCCGCCGCGGCCGCGGCCGCGTCCATCCCGTTGCGCCTCAACCACGCGGCGAAGATGACTACGCCGATGGCGCCGCTGGGACGCCCGCAGCCGATCCACGTCGCCACGTCCAGCGTCTCCACGGCGACCAACTACATTCAGGGTGGCAGCCTCGTGAGCGCTATGAGCTCGCCGGGCATCCTTCCGTCGTTCGGAACCATGACCACTTCGTCCCCCGGCCTGGTGTACCCCATCCTGACGAGGCTGCCCCACGGCGCCGTGCCCTTCCAGAGCCAGCACGGCGAGCCGGCGCTGTCCCACGGCGGTCGCCACCGTAGGAACCGGCACCTGTCGGTGGAACGCAAGGCCAGCGGGGAGGAGGCGGCGGCGGCGGCGTCGTCGGCGGCCATGGCGGCGGTGAGCTTCATAAAAAACAAATGCCGCTACTGCGGGAAGGTGTTCGGCAGCGACAGCGCCCTGCAGATCCACCTACGCTCGCACACAGGCGAGCGCCCCTTCAAGTGCAACATCTGCGGCAGCCGCTTCACCACGCGCGGCAATCTCAAGGTGCACTTCCAGCGTCACAAGGAGCAGTACCCCGACATCCCCATGAACCCGCACCCTGTGGCCGAGCACTTGGACAACGTCGTGACCAAGTCGGGGCTCCCCTACGGCATGAGTATCTCGGCCGAGGAGTCGGCGGCGGTCCGCGAGAACGACAAGATCGCCTACCCGCCCCTTAAACCGAGCGACGACGGTGGCTTCGGCATCGGCGGCATCGGCGGCGGTGACAAGCTGTCATCGGTGAAGGTCGAGCGGGGCCTGGGACAGGGCGGCCGCGACGACGAAACGGCGATCAGCTTCGCGACGTCCACCAACTACATGTTCTACAACAAGATGAACTCGCTGAGCAACTCGGAGGCCTCGGCACACGTGAGTCGCGCCAACTTCGAGGAGCGACTGCGGAGCGACTTCTCGTACGGCAGCGGCGGTGGCGGCTTTCCGGACCCCAGGCGGCGCTCGGAGACGTCCAAGCTGGAGCAGCTGGTGCAGAGCCTCGAAGAGCGGGGCCTGCCCGGTGGCTCCGCCGGCGCTCCCGCTGATGACGGAGCAGGGGTCGGCACCGTGCCCAACCAGTGCGGCGTGTGCCATCGCGTGCTGAGCTGCCCAAGCGCGCTCAAGGTGCACATGCGCACGCACACGGGCGAGCGGCCGCACAAGTGCAAGGTGTGTGGCCGGGCCTACACCACCAAGGCCAACTTGGTGCTGCACTACGCGGTGCACCGGGGCAAGCCGGCCGTGCGAGCGCTCCACTCGTGCCCCATCTGCCAGAAGCAGTTCACCAACGCCATGGTGCTGCAGCAGCACATCCGCATGCACATGGGCGGGCAGATCGGCGGCAGCGGCAACGAGAGCGAGGGGGGGCCGCCGTCCGCCCCGGGCTACGCCGCTGCAGAGGCTTCCCCCGAAGCGGGCGAGACGACGAGGGTGGCGGCTGCGGCGGCTACGGCGGAGGACGAGGAAGAAACGGGCGATAGCTACGCCGGCGAGCGGGACAGACCGGTGGAGGAGGCCGCGAGCTACTTGAGCGGCGACAACATGGAAACTGCCGAGGGGGGATCTGCCGACGGCGAGAATCGCGATGCGGACGACGACGAGGAGGAATTTGCCGACGCGAGGGACGCCAGTTTCACGGAGGGAGCCGCGGAACCCGGGCCCAGCTTCAGCCAAGGGCCGTCTCCGCCCGGTTCCGTGTCATCCGACGCATCCACCGGGAAGAAGCCCAAGTCGGGCCTGTTAAATTTCAGCCAGGAAAGCTTCAACGGCATCGCCGAGGGCGACGCCTCCAGCCAGGATGGCACGCTGAGCTTCAAATATGGGGAGTTCTCACGCATGGACTTCAGCCCTGCGCCGTCCAGCGCTGCCTCCCTGTCCAACGGCAGCACCAACGACCACCGGCTCAAGCTGCTTGCCCTGGTGGGCCTCGGCGAGGGCTTCAACCCCATCAAGACGGAGTCCAACGCGGAGGGGAGCAACGATGGCATGGCGGACCAGAGCCAGGAGAATGGCTCCTTTCGCTCGTTCTCGCCCTACGATCAGAGCAAGGGCAAGGCTACCACCTGCGACATCTGCGGCAAGCGGTTCCCGTACCAGAGTGCCCTTGACATTCACTACAGGAGCCACACCAAGGTGCGGCCGTTCATCTGCCCCATCTGCAACCGCGGCTGCACCACCAAGAGCAACCTCAAGCAGCACATCCTGACCCACCGCAAGGGGTACTCGGCAGAATTTCTCGGCCAGAGCTTGGAAGAGAGTGTTGGCTCGGGCACGGGCCTCGTGGCTCGGGCCCTGTCGCTTCCTGGCGACGCCGTCAACGGCTTCAAGCAGGAGTCGCCGTCCGTCGCTCTGCCGTCCGAGGGCGAATCGCCTTCGCCCGGCCAGGCACTGGGCCTAGGCCTCGGGATGGGCCTGCCGCGAGGCTTCCTGCAGAGCCTCGTGTCGCCGCGGTCGTCCTCCACGCCGCCGTTCGCGAGCCGCCGCTCGAGCAAACAGCACAACTGCCCGGTGTGCGGCAAGAATTACTCGTCGGCGAGCGCCCTGCAGATCCACTCGCGCACGCACACCGGCGAGAAGCCGTACGCCTGTTCCGTGTGTGGCCGGGCGTTCACCACCAAGGGAAACCTCAAGGTGCCGATTATTTATTTCACTGCGCTTTGCAATTAAGGTTGAAAGCCTTTTAATGCGTTGTCTGTCTCTCTGGGTGTCCTACCTTCTGTCGGTAAACATGGAATTCACGTCTGTCTGTAACATGAGGGTAATAATGATGATTCCCCCCCCCCCCCCCCCCCCACCATCTAATTGTAATGATGATCCCATGCGAATGCAACTTGTGTAAAAAATTTGACTTTACTTTCCCAACAGTTGCATAATACATGCAAAAGGATCCGAAAATTGGAAATATGCAAACGCTTTTGGCCTCTGCTTCCGTCTTGCTAATTTAAATACTTCCGTGGACAAACGGCATTGAATAATCCATTCGTGTGCACATGTTTTTTGGACGCTTTGATTTAACAATGGCACATTCTTATCTTATTAGATGAAGGACAAATATATACCCTGCCCACACAGCGTTTTGCTTTCTCATGTCAGTGTTTTTTTATTTGGTTTTCAGATTAGTAAAGTCAAAGTACAGCTTTGTAAAGTAAAATCAAACCTTTAAACATGTTTTCCTCCTCGCATACCATTTATTTATCAGCTGCTGGACGAAGGCGCCCAAGCCTTTTCCTTGGAGGCCCAGGACTGGTTCAGATAATCGTCACTGGTGTTAGCTGTGAGCGGGAATCGAACCAGGGTCACCGGGTTCGTAGTGCAGCAGCACGCTAACCGCTACGCTATCGCTTAGTAAGGACAGTCTCGTATTTCCATGCATTGCGGCTCCGGAAATATAAAAATTGCCTCCCTGTTATTTTGGTTGCCGCCCCCCGCTGTCTAGGTGCTCGCTGCAAACAGCATTTGCCTTGAGCGTCTGTTAAGGCTATATTGAGGAAGACCTTTGTTTTAAATGTACGTGATGTGCTTTCGCAACCTAATAAGGCAATTGCCAATGTTCTCCCGTTGCCCAATGTACCCACCGTAAGGTGCACATGACAACGCACATGTGGAACAGCGTCCCTGTGCGCCGCGGACGCCGCCTCTCCGCGGAGCTGCACCCTTGCTTGCTCGACTCCGCCGTGCCGCCGTCGTCGTCCGACGCCTCCGACTCCAACGCGGCGACCGGGGAAGACGGCATCGCCGGCAGCGGCAACGCCGACGGTGGCGGCGGTTCAATCGTCGTGAAGCATCCGCCGCTGCCGCCGCCTCCGCCGCCTCCGCCGCCACCGCCTCCCCATCACCTGGGCCACTTCCCTCCCGACGTGTTCTCTGCTGGGCCTCATGCGTCAGGCCACCCGTCTGGGTCTGACCCGAATTTCTGGATCCAGTACGCGGCGCTGCTCGCCAACGGGTTAGCCGTGCCGCCGCCGCCGCTGCTGCCGCCGCCGCCGCCGCCGCAGCCGTTACTGCCACCTTCTCTGCCCATGTCATCGGCGATGGTGGGAGCCGTGCCGGCGGTTGGGGGAGGTGGAGGAGTGGCGGGTGCTAGTGCTAGTGGTGGAGGAGGTGGAGTCGGCATTGGCCTTGGTGGTGGCAGTAGTAGCAGCGGTAGTAGCGGTAGTGCCAAGGTGAACGAGATTTCGGTGATCCAGAACGTGGCTGTGCCCGGCACGCCGCCGAGATTTGGCGGAGGCGTCGGTGGCGAGGGAGACGAGCGCGAGGAGGCAGCGGCGATGGAGCGGATGGTGAGCGAGGGAGAAGCGGCACACCGATACGCGCGCTTCATGGATGCCGACAAGGAGCTGGCCTAGTGCCCTTTGTGCCACTTTTGATATGGCGATTGCTTTGGAATCGTTGTTGATGGCGGTGATGATATCTGTTGGATTCATCGTTAATGGTGGCGATGACGATATAGCAGTGGATTCATTCATGATAGTGATGATGATCAAGATGATGGTTGTGGCTTGATTGATAACGGTGATGATACAGTAACTGGTGATGGCTGTGGAGTCATTGGTGTTGATAGTGATGATGATGGCTGTGCTTTCATCGATAAGGGTGATCATGATGGGTCACGATGATAGCTGTGGACTCATCGTGTCGACCATGTTATTAGTCGTTGGATGCTTGATGGCCCTGGGTTTAAAAGTTGGGCTGGTGCTGTCCCGTGTTAAATCTCTTGACTCTTGCATGAAAAACGCAGCACCCAGGACAAGTTTATTTCTTTCTTTGAAGCAAAGTATTTTTTTTCCCAGCAACCTATGTATGCCTTGAAGTAATAACGTCGTACATTTTTATTTTTTGACACTTGACAAAGAGTCACGTCAAACGAAAAGAAAGAATTCTGTCACTAAACGGGGAAGAAGAAAAAAAATAGATGAATGATCTTTTTAAACACATGTTCCAGCTGCTTAAATCTCTACGCCATGGAACTGGCCTACACGAGTAAGTAAATACGTAGAAAATAATAACGGGCCGAGGGAATGTTTTCTGCATGCCCCGAATTGTTTGAAAGGTTGTGAATTGATGTGAATGCTATCGTCACATTTGAAAGGCAACGATGTTATTTTATTTGGCCACGTGGCGGCCTGCATAAGGCGTATTAATACAAAAAAATGAACTAAAAGTTTACGTTTCTAAAATACCACTGGTCGTGTTATTTTGATTCGCTTTTATAGATTTGCAAGCGAGGTGAATTATTCCATTTTGCCCAGAGGTCCCGCTTTCAAGTTTTTAAAAGGCCTAACGACCACAATACATGTGAACAAATGGTTATTTTAAGGCCGTGAAATGTTTTGACGTGTTTTTTTAAAATGAATTTGTGAAAGTCCGCCGAAAACTTGTTGTAAGTTTTACGACGGACTACAGCTATAGAATTTGACTTTGTTGGGATTTATGCATCGGCCTTGTTGGTTGCGGCCGCCCAGTTTTAACAGTACGGCACGTAAGTTCAGATCCCTATAACCGCTGACTTAAAGTCGTCTGTGGTGCTAGAATAAATGTTATAGGAGCTGTTCAAAATTTGGCAATGCCGTTATTAAGATAATACCTGAGGTGAAGTAAACTTAAAAAAATTAGCATTGCTATATATTTCTTCAAATGGACCAAAATGCCTACGAGTGTGACCATTGCATACTTTGTGGCAATTTGTGCAAGTAGTGGGCTTGTATATAATGTAATGTTTACATGCGGAGGTGTCATAACAACACTTGGCAGTTTTAATAAACATGTTTTTAGACGGTAGTTTTTTTTCAGGTTGGTAATTTACGTGTACATTTATACAACAAAATAAGCTATCGCGACCCTTTTACACATCAATATAAAAAAATCGAATGTTTTTTACCCCCCCCCCCTCCTCCTCACATTATTGTTGATGCATAGACGTAGAAGCCGGGCAGCGTTAAGCTGCGAGCTGTCTTTTTTAATTCGTGTACGTTTTATTTATTACTGCGTTATTGTAGACTTATTTCTTTTTTAGTAAAGTTACTTTTCAGGCATAGGTGCGGCGGTTGTGACGATGGGGGTGGGGGGGAGCCTCGCCTATTGCAAACTGTATTTAAAAATATATATTCACTCAGGATAAGCTCATGGACGATGGAGTAAATTAAGCGGCTTTTTGTGAATCTGTTGAAAAGTGGAATGTAGGTGGTACCACATTGTTCACTTTGTCGTTTTTTAACTTTTCATATATAACAGGTCGTGTTAACGGAATACCAAAAAAAGTTTTTAGTTTTTTTTTAACCCCGTAAAGTGCTTTCATGTCACACCTAGAAAACCACAAATGAGAGTGGAGTGATTGTGAAACATTTGATACATTTAGTTTACAATCGAGTGCCTTCTTTGCTACTGATGAACATACTCGCTCTACCTCAGTGCCTTGTAAATATATATGCTTGAATCTTTGTTTGGTTAAAGTTTTTTTGTTGATAATCAGTCGTATAAAAACATTTTACAGCTTTTGTTAACTAATTAAAATATTTCTGGCCTGCTCTGCCTTAGTCTCGATGGTTATTCAGGAGGCCTTTGTGAAACAATGACATGCTACGATTTTTGGAAGTATAAAAACATCCTCTCCTGGACTAAGTATTAATTATAGCTGGTTTACTACTTCAGTGGCAATATTTTTCCAACGTTTTTTTTTTAAGGGGAGAAAAAAGTACTGTAATATTTATCAACCAATACCTCAATGTATTTACTGAATGTACGTAAAGAACTGGAATGTCAAACAAAATCAGGTTTGTTTTTGTATTGTTGAAAAAAAAATGTTGACATCTTTTTATACGGTTCGTGAAGTGATGTTTTGGGTACGGGGCATATTTAGATAAGTTACGACTTAAGGGGGGGGGGCTATTTTCGGACAACATTACGATGAGATGTTTGTGACCAAGGGGGTGGATTTTCTCATCATAATTCTGATCGAAAAATGCATTTCTGTATTCGTAACAGGTCCGGCAGACATTCTTGAAGTGCCGTTGTTCATAGCGTCTGGAGAAACAAAAAAAACATGTGCCTGGTTTGTTGAAAGATGCAGTGAAGGAAATGCAGTGAAATAAACCTGTTCATGAATCACAGCTCGACTGCTCTCGTCTGTGCATCGTCCGAGGGTGACATCGCCCCAAGATCATCCGTCTCTTTCGTCACCAGTTCTATGAACTTCTTTCACGCCGTACGTAGCCAATCGTGGTAATCGGAGGTGTGTGGGGGACGACGACGTCGAACTAAACACAAAAAAGCCGTTCTAAAGAAATGCCTTTTCAATTTACATTACTTAGAAGTGCATAGCTTCGGTGGCTTTCTAATAATGTAAGGAAGACCGTTCCAGACGACCGCAGAAGCGCGTCTGAAACCGCGCGGTGCGGTGACCACCGTCTTTGTTTGATGGCTTTGTTCGTGCAAAATGATCGTTATAAGAACCCTGGAAATGCCATCGCTTGATGTACAACCTCCGCTAGTTTCTTGACAAGGTTAAGCCGAGTTGGTTAGCAGTGACATTTGCATCGATGTATTGACGTGTAATGTAACTCTTCCTTTTGTTCAATGCGTGTCCATCTTAATTCGGTGCATGAGAGTTGATGCTTATTCGGAGTGCCTAGGCGTCTGTGGGAACCCGAATACCGTGAAAAATTCTGAGTAATCCCTTTGATGCATTCGTGAGATAATCACTTAAGATAATTGCGTGGTAAATAATTAAACGTGTGGTTTAATCTGCATTTAAGAAGGGTGTGGTCTTAATGAGATGCAAGTTTTCTTTAAACAAAAAAAATCCGTACCAACTAACGTATGCTAACGTATTCTTGGTTCTTTCGGTAAAGTCACGTAGAAGGGAAACGATAAAATATAAAAATATAAACCAATAACGTGTTTTTTCCCTTTTAAAATTTAAATTTATATAATCGGCACATTTTACTTGAATTGTTTAAACCACTTTTTTTAAACGAACATTAAAAATCTATGCACGGTGTGTTTGAATAGATAACCGAATACTTTTGTCCAGAATAATAACTTATTGTTTTAATGCGTTTGCTGGAGAGACAAATACGCAAAGAAGGAGCGTCTGCCCTTTTAATACATCAATGGTGTGATCTGAATTAACAGCATTGTTTTCCTGAAAAACTAACTTTTTTCATGTTCATGTTTTCTTGCCCTTTGAAATGTGTATTACAAAATGCTTGCATTTTATTTAAATCGGTTTTATCATCACCATTTATGTTTTGTGTATCTAAAATAGCATTTGTGCAGATCTATACTACTGTGTATAATAAGTACATGCTGTATGTACAGTACCATACTGTGTATATTATCGATTTACGATGCCGTATTAAGTTTGCAAATATCAATCGGAGTGGCTTAATCTTTCACGTTTTAAGGGATGGTCTGCATTTAATAATGTCTTGTCCCAATATTTGTAACCAACCAATAGCAGCGTGTCGAACTATTCCCTTTTTCCTCGCATACTACATTTAAATTATTAACATAAACAAACCATGCGTACATTTACACGACACAGTATTATTGAACTAAACATCGGTGTGCTGTGTACAACGCAGTATTTACTGACGTGCTCGTGTGTCTGTGTGTGTGTACGTCTTCAGTGTCCACGTGTGAACACGCGGGATATGTGTACATTTGTTTGTATATCTGGTCCAAAAGAAATATTACAAATCGATAAAGTTACGAGAAAACAAACACGTTAAAAAACGGCTCCCAACACAGGTGTCGGAGAGCTTGGGGCCCAAGTTAAACATGACAATTGGCGAAGGCTCGGCAAATTTCAACACTTTTTGGGAAGATTTTTTACGATTTGTACAGTAAGCTTTTGGTTTTCCAAAAATAGGGCTGTTAAATGAAAGCCAACTTTTAACATGTCAAGTAGGAGTCGTGGAAGTTTACTGTGATTATTATTATTTGCTCTTTAACTTTGCGTAGAAGATGGCCAGATGCGTGCGTGATGTTTTATAACTTGTGTTTAATGTGCTGCAGTGGTTAGACCGCACCGCTTGTGAATCGGGGCCTCCCCCCGCCCGCCCGAGTTCGATTCCTGGCAAAGGACATTTTTTTTTATTTTGTGGCGAATGATCTACGGAACCGGTGATGAACGACCACCTTCCCATAAACAACCCGCAATGACCCCGGGTGGTTTCCAGTACAGCACTTCGTGTGTGGTCAGCCATCCTCCCAGGACTGATGCTGCAGTTTGTAATCCAGCAGTGGATTGGTCCAGATGTTGTGACCCCCCCCCCCTTCCCCACCATTGAATTCTCAAAGTTTTTTTTAAAGTAAGCTTTTGCGTAAAACTGTAATTAATATACAAAGGAGAAAAAACAATGTTTAGGGGTCAATTCGGCGTCACAAGAGGTGGCTGACCACCACTCTGTGCATTGTTGTAATTATATTATTGGGTCTTTCTGTAAAGTCACGTAGATAGGTTCAAGGAACCGAAAGACCCAAGAATATGAATCCCTGCAGTCACGAAAGCTTCAAGTCAAGATTGTTGTAATTGTTATAGAATATCAGTTTAATTTACAGTGAGAGTCTCTTTGCAAGAGCAATTTGAGTCCAAATGAGGTGCTAAGTGTAAGCACCATATTTTTAACACGTAGGCATTCGCGACCAATACCATCCATACGTTTGTTTGGGGTTTGATAGCGTGAATATAAATGTGTCGTTAAACCCACCACCACCCGACACGGGCAATTAGTAAGGGTTGTCACGCAAAACATGCCAATTCTTTACTTGTACAGCACACCGGTGTGTTGGAGAGCCAAGCCACAACATTTACAATCTTGAGTACGACGTTTTGCCAGTAATTACAACTAGCTTCATCAGTCGACAGACATATTTGTGGATAAATCCTCCTGTTTCGTTCCCTAATTATGGATAACACCATCTGTTACACGTGCAGAACATTTGTACACGTGCACAAATTGACTGCCATTTACAATTAGCCTGCCAAAGCCTCATCTTTGTGCGGAATCTGTAACGGAATCCAATTGGGGAGCTTTCAATTTCATTTTTAGGTGCCGCTGTGGATTGGGTGATAAAACGTTGAGCAGGATTTATTAATGTGAACTCTCAAAGGTCTCCAAGGACTTAGGACATGGACTCACCTTCTTCATGGGGCCATGGATACAGACGTGAAAGCGATCCGGGGGCATACGGCCCTTTCCTCAATTACAGTTAACCGGCAGCCATGGAGATGGTTTCAAACGAGACGTGCCTGGGTTTGGTAACAGGATCTTGTAAAAAGATGGGGGGGGGGGGGGGTTGTTTATGTGCCTCTGTGTGTGTGTGTTGCGTGACAATTGGATCTGTGCTAAGAGTGGGGGCATCCATTTTACAAAAAAACCAAACTGAAGAGCGAGAGTGGAGAGAGGAGGGTGGAGTCGAACAAGAGATGGAGAAGAGATGGTGGGGGGGGGTGAAGTTTGAGAGAGGGGGGGGTGGTACACAGCCTAGAAATCTACTTAAATTCGAATGAGTAACTTGTGCATTAACAGCTCATCAGGTGGCCTGAATCTAAAAGACCTTTCACATGGAAATGTGGGTCCGGAGGGATGGGGGTGGTGGTTGCTGGTGGGAGGAGGATGAGGAGGAGGAGGAGTAGCAAAGTCCTTTGTGTAACTTGGACGCCTCAGTTTTCAGCAAAACTTTGCAAGCAGGAAGTTTCATCCATATGGAATGCGGTTTCTGTCGGCCATGTTTGAGAACGTAAATATATGAGGAACAATGTTTATAGGGCTGGTCACTCAGTAGGTTTTTTTTATTTAAATCAGAAAAAACACCTACAAAAGAAACCAGTTTTCTAGCGTTAAATGAGATGCGTTTTTATGCTACTGAATTGGCAGTCACCTTAAGCTTTCAGTGTCAATGCGGGTCCATTTTGCAGCAACGCAGTCGATCTATTAAGCCAACGTTGCAGGGCTCTTGTGGTAGGTTTTTATAATGTTATGGTAAAAAAACACGTTTCACCCATAACATTATCCGCCAATTAAAAACAGTGGTGGCGAAGTGCTTAGCACCCCTCACTAGAACATAATTGCAAAATTAATTTTTCAAATTGAAAACGAATTTCTTTAAAATTAATTTTGTGTTTTAGTTTGTCCTTCCCCGCATCTGCGATTAGCACGGTTGGCTACGTACGGTGTGAAAGAAGTTCAATGTACACACGCATCTGACCACACGAGATTGATGCTCACCCACTGCCTGCCTTGACCGGTGCGGTGAAGTATGGTCAAACAAAACCCATGGCCTTCAGCCAGTCGTGGATTGGAAAGGATGCTGTACGTTATTGTAATTGAACAGATGTACGCGTCGATTGTTAATGTTTAACAGTTAACCAAACGCACATTTACTGCAGCAGGTTCTGTACTCGGTGCGTGTTGTCTGATGCACACGATGTATGCGGCAGCTACGTGTCGAGTCGTGTGTACACATGTCGGGTACCTTTACAACAACAGCTGACATTCTCTGCTCGATGATCGTGATAAAGATCCCCTAACCCCCCGTGTCGCCTTAACAGACTGTTGGGGCAAGTGCTGTTAGCGAGCACCTATGAAGGCCGGAACGGCACGCGAGGGGGTGGGTGGCCAGCAACCACACCCGGCCGCCTTTGTCTCCCCAGTGGCGATGTTTACGCACCGCACCAGATACCCATTTGAGGCCGAGTCGACCTAGGGGAGGCTCGACACAGATATTCGTCACCGATGTTGGGCCGTGAGCAGGAATGGAACTCTGTCGGCCGGGTTCGCAGCGCAGCGCTAACCACGATCACTGCTGCCCCGCGATGTCCCTCGACATCACTGCTGCCCCGTGATGTCGACATCACTGCTGCCCCGTGATGTCGCTCGACATCACTGCTGCCCGTGATGTCCCTTGACATCACTGCTGCCCCGTGATGTCGACATCACTGCTGCCCGTGATGTCCCTTGACATCACTGCTGCCCCGTGATGTCCCTCGACATCACTGCTGCCCCGTGATGTCGCTCGACATCACTGCTGCCCCGTAATGTCGCTTGACATCACTGCTGCCCCGTAATGTCGCTTGACATCACTGCTGCCCCGTGATGTGCCT